GTTAGAATGTGGTTTTGTAATATACTGTAAATATACGTTTATACGGCGTTGTGAAAGAGATGACTCATCTGCCTCGACGTAGAGACTGTCAACAGGTGAAGTTCTAAAGGACCCATGACAAAGTCTTAGACCTTGGTGGTTGACAGAATCTAATAGTTTTAGGTTATTGTTGCAGGCTCCACCATACACGATAGAGCCATAATCAAGCTTCGAGAGGACCAGTGATCTATATAGGTGTAGGAGGGTAGCTTGATCCCCTCCCTACTTTGAATTAGAAACGACTTTCAATAAGTCAAGTGCCTTCATGCATTTAGTTTTTCGGGATTTGATATGCGGAAGAAAAGTTAAATGGTAGTCGAAAATAAGATCCAAAAACTTGGCCTCCTTATCAACTTTTATGGGAGTTCTATTTAAAGATAGTTTTGGGTTCTTATGCAGCTTGTATTTTCTACAGAAGTGTATGCGCTATTTTTGACTTGCCGTTCAATAGTATGCATATTTTTACCTGGAAAAGAAATATTAAAATCATCCACAAAAAGTGATCCATCAATTGAATCACTTAAAACATTGGATAAACTGTTGATCGTAATACTAAACAATGTGACTGACAAAATACTGCCTGCTGGGACATGCTGATCCTTATTGTAATGATCAGACAAGGTTGAGCCCACTCGGACTTGAAATTGCCTATCCGTGAAAAACTGATATAAAAAGAGGTAAACGGCCCCTCAAACAAAAGTCATGTAAATCCTTTAAAATGCCATGCTTCCGGGTGGTTTTGTACGCTTTCTCGAGATCAACGAATATCGATACTGCATGTTGTTTATTTACTATGGCATTTTTAACAAAGGATTCTAAACGTACCAAATGATCAATGGTACTACGGTTTTCCTGAAACCACATTGAATACTTGTTATAAGGGTATTGGTTTCAAGATACCAAGTTAATCTATTGTTTACCATTCGTTCCACGGTTTTACAGACACAACTCGTTAAAGAGATTGGTCTGTAGTTAGACGGATCAGTATGATCCCCGGCCAGGCTTTGGTATAGGGACCTCATTGGCATTACGCCACGAAGTTGGGAATATCCTGTACTCCATATCATATCACATATATTGAGCAGCGCTTCCAGACATGATTCGGGCAAATGTTTCTGGAGTTGATAATGAGTATCTTGGGTATAGTTTGGTCAGCAATGTCATTGAGTATATCTGAAAACGACTGTATAGGATCTCCGCTGTTGATAAAAACATCATTACAGAGGCCCAGATAAGCTGCGTATCCGGGTAAAATACGCATAGAATATTTCCAATTACGCATTGAACAATAATTGTTGCGTACCGATTTCGCATTTAAAATGTTAGATACGCAAAAAGTTTAAAACAAATGTGTACGAAATATATTTATAAAAACCGCTTGCGTAATGAAAAAGACATTGATTGCTATCAAGTTGTACTGTTAGTATAGGACAAGTGCTGTACTGTCAGTACAGGATGTGTGATTTTGTATGAAATCATTTCCATTATATTTAAGTTGGTTTTGATTAGGTATGACATAAGGCAGAACATTCCTGCTCAGTAAACTTACTCAATGACATAATACTTAGGTGAGTAAAATGACTGAAATACGTGAAATATGTGAAATACGCACATATTTGAAAGCAGTGGGTAACGGAAAATGAAATACCCACTCAACATTCATAATACCCACACCAAACAAATACACTGGGAACAGTACCCACATGGGCTAAATCTTATCTGGAGCTCTGTAATCATGATTTAATTGATCAGTACATAGTCTTCTATATAATGACCAATCAGCCCTGGCGAAGTTCCTTGTTGATAAAGGTGGATCATCACCAGGGTTGATTGTTTTGAGAATGGTGGGAAGTGATCACTCCCACATAGGTCCTCATGGACCATCCATTCAAATTCATTATTTAAGATGGAGTCAGCAAGTGACAGATACAGGGAAGAATATGTTCCCGTAGTTGGGTGTAGATAAGTGGCTGAATCACCACTGGAAATGCATAAATTTTTATCGGAAATGAATTCCTCGATGAGTTTACCTTTGTTATTTGTGTTGGCACTTCCCCAAAGCGGGTTGTGTCCGTTGAGGTCACCCATGATGATAAATGGCTTTGGAAGCTGATTATATAGATTTGAAGATCCGATCGTCGAATGTCAGAAGAAAGAGGGATATATACGCTGCCCAGAGGCAAGGTGATGTGTAGAGTCAGACAAACAGCTATAGTCTAAAGATTTGTGTTAAGTGAGACAGGGCTATGTGCAATACCCTGCCACACTAAAATAGATGCGCCTCCAGTTTTCCCCTAGAAGGGAAAAGGGATGATAATGACTTTACTGTTTTAGTAAAAGGTATCATTATTTTTAAGATAAGTCTCCTGAAGACATAATGCTGACGGTTGAAGATCTTGTATGAATAACTGGATTTCACTGAAGTTACTCTTCAGTCCTCTGCAATTCTACTGAATTATATTGGCGAATTCAATTGGCGACTCAATTGGCGATCGTTCACGTGAATGTGAGGAGGAATTATATTTTCTCCGCATGTCCTGCGGGAACAAAGTGACCTCCATATCTAGGGGTCCAAAAGAATTTTGTATAGGAACCCCTGAAGTTGAAAAGTCAGCAGGGTTTAGATTTCTGTTTAATCATTTTCCTTTCTCCCCCTTTGATGGCTCGCTGGCTGGCTGCAAAGCAGTCGTTTGTGAAGTTTCGGGCTGAATTTCCGCCAGAGTGACCAGGGGAGTAGGTTTTTGGGATGGAGAAGTAGGTTTTCTTGATGAAAAGGCAGGTTTTTCTGACATGCAGCTGAGGACATTGCTACAGAGCGGGTGACTGCAGCGGAATACGTGATATTTGACAGATTTGAAGATTGATTTAAGTAATGATCTGTCGCTTCCAGGTAGGAAATGCTTTTTTCACACAGCAATATTCCAGCTATATGGCGGCGGTCTGTAAATAATCGAGTCTGGACCAGACAATCCAGTGATCAACAGTATGAACATCAATCTACGCAATTGGGAACCGATGACATGTGTCAACCAAGTCAGCGAGCCTGACCACCCGATCCCGTTAGTCGCCTCTTACGACAAGCATGGGTTACTGAAGATCTATTCTAACCCGGACCTTCACGGGTCTCTGGAATGCGAAATACACGCCAGTACACAGAACCATTAACCTGAAATACACGCCGGTACACAGAACCATTAACCTGAAATACACTGTCTAGACCGTGTCCAATTGCGTGTCTGTATTCTGTCTAAACCTTCCCTCGTTATCTAGTTATTTAATAGTATTCGTCCGTGATAGATAAGAATACTATTTACCCACCGACACATCAAACGAGTGTGACGATGTCTTCGCTTGTTAGAATGCATACTCATACACATTTGTCTCTATGTTAATCTCGACTTTAAAGTGTGTGCATGTTTTTACATGTAATGAATGAGCAGCAATTTGAGTCTGCACTTCGTTTTGTATAAATGGTTTCAAGCTCAAGGGCAGCGACATAAGTTCCACAGTGCTCATTCTTCTGGTATAAGGTTCAGGCTAATGTCGTTTTATAGTGAGGTGAGGTGAAATTGGGTTTAACGTCGTACTTGAGAATATTTCGCTCATATGACGACGTGCATGCGTGTGTATGTGTATGTGCGGCTGCTTGTACTAGCCCAGACTTAAGCTGGTTTTATAGTGCTAGCCCACTGAGATACCATGCCGTAGTGAAGCATGAATACCCCACTCAGACACATTATACTGACTCCGAGCCGACCAGTCCTTGTTGTACCCATTAATGCCGAGCGCCAGACAGAGACCAACAAGTACCATATTTTAACGTCTTTTGGTATGACGCGACCGGGGATCGAACCCGCGACCTTCCGCTCTCCGGGCGGACACGGAGGCGGTCTCCTCGTTTTATAGTGAGTGAGTGAGCTTAGATTTTAAGCAATATTCCAGCAACATCACGGCGGGGGGACACCAGAAATGGGCTTCACACATTGTACCCATGTGGGGAATCGAACCCTGTCTTTCGGCGTGACGAGCGGGCGCTTTAACCACTCGGCTTCTACACCGTCCCCGTTCTTGCCTGTGATTCTATGCACTACTTAAGCATTGACACATGGCGGTGGGGTAGCCTAGTGGTTAAAGCGTCCGTTCGTCACCCCGAAGGCTAGGGTTCGATTCCCCACATGGGTACAATGTGTGAAGCCTATTTCTGGTGTCCCCCGCCATGATATTGCTGGAATATTGCTAAAGGCGGCGTAAAACAAAACTCACTCACTCACACAACATTGACAGAGTATTAACTACGAGGTGGACAGTTCATACCCTAATGGATAAAAACAAGTACTATATTTTAAATTTCTGAGTATAACGCAGGATCGAACCACCGACATCCGATACAGGCAAAACACTACACCACTCAGCTAAAGATCATCACATTAAAAGTTAATGCCTCAAAGTATGTGCAACTTTTAATATAAGCAAAGAAATATAAACTGCAGACATGTTTAATGAAAGAGATTTGGTTAAAAAAATAAGAAGACAGACAAAGTATAAAAACAAACAAGCTTCAGTAGAGCGTATGCCTGTAAGCTTTGTACTGTCTTGTCTTGCTCCGAATATGTGTCTGAATGGTTGGCAAGGGAAAATAGTTTTAGTCGTCAAGAGTGAGTGAGTGCGAGCGGGTGAGCGTGTGAGTGAGCGAGTGAGTGAGTGAGTGTGTTCCGCCATACGGCGACGAGTGCAAAGTTTAAGAATAGTAACCTTTACACTTAATGTGTACGCATGTATGTAGGATCTTCTCGTGATCCTTCTCTTTGTAGTGACTCGAAATTGGGGTTAACCGAAACGACAAACTAAGTGTACCTTTGTTTTTAGGACTGGCCACTCTACCTGACCACCCTGCGATTGGCGCTGTGGCATCTCCCACATGTCAACCCCTCATCGTCTCCTGGCTGATCATTCACCTGCCCTCCCCAGTGAACATCATGGGGTCACGATGGATGCTCCAATACGCCATCGTCATCGGTAATGTCAAACTATTTTTTCAGTTTTTACTTATTCATATTTAATCCACCTATTCGTAAAAAATTCATAATTGTCATAACACATAGTAGGTTAAAGGGAGATTGTGTCCTACCTCCGAATAACTTTCTTTACGCGTTTATAACTCTGCAGTTATGTACGGATATACACATATGTATGGATGACAACTTCTACGTCGTCATTGAGACGTTTCGACACAAATTCTAGTACCGTTGTCATGAAAAATTAAACATTTGTCAATAATGTACTTCCCAGCTTCTAAAATTCCACTCAAAGAAGTTACGTGAAAATATGTCTATAAGATTGTTTGGTCTATCTCCATTTTCGAGTGTAGAATTTGGAAAACTATAAAAGCGTAACGGCCTTATAAACATTATAAAATATCTTTGATTGGTTTTAACTTTTTACAAGACCATGAAGAGATTAAACCTTTTGGAGATAACATTTTCTTTTTGTGTACGTTTTTGAAGATGACTTCTTGTTAATACTATGTGTACCATGAAGATCTGGGTTAGAATTGATCTTCAGCAACCTATGCTTGTCGTAAGAGGCGACTAACGGGATCGGGTGGCAGGCTCGCTGACTTGGTGGACACATGTCATCGTATCCCAATTGCGCAGATCGATGCTCATGGTGTTGATCACTGGATTGTCTGGTTCAGACTCATTACTCGACTACCGCCATATAGCTGGAATATTGCTGTCTGCAGCGTAAAACTTAACTCACTCACTCATCATAGTATGTAAGAGTATGTAAGTTGACTTTAGCCTTTGTCTTCACGCCGTTAGATTCCGTATTAAAAAGGATCAAACTTTGCTCATGTCAACGTTTATAGGTTTTCGACATATGTTCAGTGACTTCAATAGAAAAAAATTCACGATGATTTTCAACACAGACAAAACATAAATCTGGTAAGACTTTTCTACAAAATGTAAATAGTGTAATTTTCAAGACAATGTGCTGTCATTCAGAAATATGTTCTGTCACATCCATAACAATTCGTAGACATTTATTTTTGTAATTTCCACAAAATATCAATCATATCAATCTGCATGAAATTTCATGATTGTACATGGAGGAGTCCTTTGTCAAATTTGAATTTGAATGATCGCTAACAATATATCGTGTCTAGGTCTGCGCTTGGCATGCGGCGTGATTGTAAACACTACTGACAGGACAGCAGTTGAAGGTTGGAACCCAGTTGACATTACCTGCTCATTCAGCTTGTCTGAAGGGGAGGAGGTAGACTATGTGTATATTGACACTTACGTGGACAGTATCGGTTTCGTTGATCTGGTTAACTTCTGGCCCCTCAACACCACGACCGAGTACCTGCCGGGTGGGGCCAGGCTGAGGAACAGGACGACCCTGGTGGTGGAGGACGGTCAAGTGGCTCTCCGGTTTAATGTGGTGGAGTGTGGAGACGCCACCAGCTACTACTGCAACGTTCAGACCAATGTTACATACGCATATGAAGGCATGGACTTACAAGTTGTAGGTGAGTCTGGGGTGAATCTGGGGGGAGTTTGATGAACGCCGTTTTGAACGTTTTATTTTACCTTGTGGCGAACACGGGTGCCATAACTGATTTACATATGATATTACATATAGTTATTTTCTCCAAATATTTGAAGGGCTTTTTGAAGTAGAGTGCATAAGAAAAGCAAGATTTATGGATGTCAACTTCTTTATTGTGAATAACACGATGTTTCGGAGTGTATGCTTGCTCCTTCATCAGGTGTGTTTGTATTATATCCTATCACATCCATTACCAAGTTGTTTTAGTGTATCACTGGCCTCCTCGTGTTTGTACACTCATGTTTACAATGAAAACGAATGACCCAAACATATATTTACCTCTTATCAATGTAGTTAAAACAATTTTGGAATGTTCTGGCTTAAACTTTGTATGGATATCTCAAACTTGTACAAGTAAGATTTGGCTTAAAAATAACCTTAAGGCTATATTATGTAACCAGTTTTATCAACACTTGGACGAATGTAAATCAAATTCTACATAAAGGCCACTATGTTTAAGTTATCTCCATACCTTGACAGTTCTCTATTACACTTTCCATTAAACGTACATATTGGCTTACCTATATTAGAACTTGTAACCATAAACTCCCATTAGAAACAGGTAGATGGTATAATATTAGTAAAGAAAAGAGATTATGTACATTATGTAAATATAGGATATGAATTTCACTTCATGTTATACTGTCCATGTTTAAGTAATGTAAGAAATTCATTTCTACCAAACTATTATTGCAATTATCCATCATTAGATAAATTTATATCCCTAATGTAATGTCCGCACAATGCACTATTATTAAAGGTAAGCAACTATGTGAAAACCGGTCTACGTATGCTCCCATAAACAAATCTGTACATTTGTATTTTTTTCACTATGTCACTATTGTGATCTTCATAAGAATAAACCATTCATTGTACTATATCCTATCACATCTATTACAAGGTTGGTTTTAGTGTATAGTGTAAACATATTTTATTCAAAATATATTGAACAAGGATTGGTAAACAAGCCGTAATGGCTTATTTGAATACCTCTCCATTTCATTGATACATGAATAAAACAAATATTAAATAATATGCAGCATGATAGGAAAGCAAGCAACCTGCGTATTAAACATTATTAATCATTTATCAAACCTATGCGATTTTATTATAAAAGAATGGACAGATTGTAGTATGAAAGAATTTACAAGTACATTTTTGTTTGGATTACCATTTAGGACAGAATTTAAATTATATCCATGTTCGTAAAAATACATGCGATGTCTGATGTAAGAATAATTAGGACAAGTAAAGAAGTAATGTAAAGTATCCTCATAGGGGTGACCACAGGAACAGAATGGATCAACTGAAATGTGCCGTTCAAACATGTGCGCTTTCAAATTACTGCACCCAAGTCTGAGGCGTGAGTGGATAATTTGGCAGAAACGTGTACCAAAGTTTTTATCGAATATATTTAAATTGGGTAGTTTAGATGATTGGAATGCATTTTTAAATTGGCCTATGGTTTCAATATCGTACATATTCTCAGGCAAATCATTCCATTGTCGTATTGTATCAGGTAAAAACGAGTTGCTATACAAGTCACTACGACACCTTATAGTTTGAATGTTATTTCTGTTTCTTAATCTGTGGTCACTTAACTGTGATACCTTTTCGGGCAGTAGATCAGTTAAATAAACTGGTGTCATATGATGAACCATTTTGTAAAATAATGATAACTTGCTAATTTGTCTACGGTCACCTAGGGGCATAGAGTTAGTTTCCTTATATATTAAGTCATGATTTGTTCCTCTAACTGCCCCGCAAATCGTCCGCAGTGCGTCTAAATGTAGATTTTCGACAAGTTTTTCTTGTTCTTTAGTAGAGTTATCCCAAAGGTGCGAACAGTAATCGAACGTTGGTAATATATATGACTTGTACATTTGCTCTAATGATTTTCTAGATAATCTATATTTAAAACTACGAAGACAACTTACCAATGGACGAACCTTTTTAACTAATTCACCAATGTGGGAATTCCATTTACAGTCTGATTGCAAGGTTACTCCTAGGTGTTTATGGTAGCCGGCTTCAGTAATGTCTACTCCATGCATTTTAAGCTTAGGAATTGGAAGTTGGTTACCGGTATTTCTGCGAGTGAATAAAACAGCTTCAGTTTTACCAGGATTAAAGCTAACCTACCATAGTTCAGCCCAGTGAGAGATCCTGTTTAGGTCATTATTTAAGGAAGCGGCAGTAACAACATGATTATCAACAATAACATATACCGAAGTATCATCGGCAAAAAGACGAATGTTACTACTGATACCCTCAATGATATCATTTATGTAGACTAAAAACAGTAATGGCCCAAGGACAGATCCTTGTGGCACCCCAGCAGTGACTTTCCTTAGATCTGAATTGTAATTGTCTATAGCTACTCTCTGTAATCTATTGTCAAGATAACTGGAAAACCAATCAAGTAACTTACCCTTAATACCATAAGCTTCTTATTTCGCTATGATTCCCTTATGCCAAACCTTGTCAAAAGCCTTGCTTATGTCACAGAAAACTGCCCTGACTTCTTTGCCATTGTCTAATGCATGTAGTATAAAATCATACAAGTATGTCAGTTGGTATACAGTTCCATCCCCAGGCATGAATCCCGACTGCAAATTCGTTATTATCTACAAAAAAGTTAAACACATGTTTAAAAATACATTTCTCAAAGACCTTTGATAAACAGCTGGTAAGAGCAACTGGTCTATAGTTTTTACATTCATTAAAACTACCTTTAGGTTGAATAGGAATGCCAATAGCTTCCTTCCATATTGTTGGGAATTTACAATATTCTAGGGATAAATTGAATAGATTTGTAAGAGGAGTACAAAGGGATGGCACGATCATTTTGATAAATCTGTTACCTATTTTGTCTGGTCCACTCGCTTTGGAAATATCAACTGATAATAGGATGTCTCTTACTTCTTGTGTAGTCAATACAATAGACGCAAGTTGAGTCTTTACTTTACATTCAAGTGTAGGAGTCTCCTTATCAGGATAGTCAACTTGTGCGTGGTCAGCAAAATATTCATTAAATATATTTGCTTTATCTTTACTATCATTAAACATATTATCGTTATGAATAATCGAAGGAAATTTCTTATAATCTCCATTTTGGATTTTATATACTTATTCACTAAAGCCCACCAAAATTTAGAATTACCCCTGATTGATCTTATCATCTAAATCAGAAATATAGTTCAATTTGGCTGCTCTCACGGCTGCCGTTACTTTGTTCCGTAAAAGCCTAAATTTTGCCAGTCTTTATCATAATTTCGAGTCTTTGCTTTCTTATGCTGTCTATTTCTTTTCCTGATAAGTATTCTTATAGCACTATTCATCCATGGATTGTCCTGAGGTCTTATTGTTACCACATTGTTTGGGACATAAATATCACATATATTTCTCAAAACATCAACAAATTCATGTGTTAGTAAATCAATATCATTACATCTAAAGATGGAATCCCAGTCAACGTTGTTAAGGCCGCGATTCATTCCCTCAGTATTAGCTAAATCATAATAAAATACTTTCCTTTTAAATTTTAAAGGCGTTGAATCAGAGCCCCCAACAGAGACATAAACTGGACAATGATCACTACAAAAAGGAACAAGCACACCCGAAGTGCGAATACAATTAGGGTTTGAAACAAAGATTAAATCAATTAAAGTACTAGTCGTTTGGGTGATCCTTGTTGGTTCTGTGATAAGTTGCTGTAAATCATATGTATCAAGAAGATTGTCAATCATGTTATTAGTCTGGTTATGTATATTGATGTTAAAGTCACCAGCAGTAATAGTATCTATGCCCATGTCAATGCCATTACCAATTGATTGGAGGACTAGTTCCCAATAAAGATCACTTTTATCTGCTCTGTAAAAGTTTCCAATCAAATACCCCTATTTTTTACACATACCTTTAACCCAGATCGCTTCTAAACCTAAGGGAGACAACTTATCAGCATGTGTAACATGCAGGTTCTCTCTCTCACATTGATAGCAACACCTCCACCTTTTGATGGTCTATCTTTCCTAAAAGGGGCGTGGTAACCGGGGATAAGAATATTATTGTTATCAATTGTGACATTCAACCATGTTTCTGTTAAACATATAACATCATAGTCACTCAATTCTGCCTGGATTAAATCAACTTTTTCTCTTAAGCTACGCACATTCAGATGAACTATTTTTAAGTCAGGATAAGCAAGTGGGCCTGGATTTGGGTGCACATCACCACAGCATAGAAGAATAAGTAACATAATCAGCTGCACTTGCGGATTGTATAAACATAACGTCATTATGGCATATGAAGTTTTTTTAAATTTTGCATAGGAATTTAACTGTGAAATCATTTCAAAAAAAACCCTATTGTCTGTCGGTATGTCGAGATATCAACCGGCATCGTCAAATATGAATATAAAGAGATGAGTTTGAGGACAGACGGGATTATTTGTCAAAGGATGTGAAATACGCTCAGGTTGCTGCTTCCATTTCATCAAGATAACAAGTTTCACCTTTACAAGCTCAATGTGTGTGTATTCAAAACACAAGAAACAAATATACAACGCAAATTCAACATAAAATAATTTTCCATAAGTCATAATGGAAATATTAAAATACTGTTTAGGGGCTTGAAATACTGGGGGTTGAAATAGAGAATTGTCATACAGTGGATAAGAAAAGAAAGGAGGGAAGAGAAGTAATATGCAGTAAATAGGGAAATGTATACTAGTAAGGCTGACGATGCAGTAAACTGTCATAGTAAAACCAGACTGAGCTGGTTTAGCTTTTAAGTCAAGATTGCAAACTTAAGTTATCAAGGCTTGTACGAGCAAAATAGAAAAGCATCATAACTGTTGCCATTACGTAATGATGCCTGGCTCGTATAACAGAAAGCACGAGATAAGCGGACTTTTTGTGC